AACAAGCAATAGCACAATGAAACTCAATAATCATCTACAGTTATTTCTATCGGCGGAATATAACGCCACGTATGTCCAGCATTTATAAGTTCTGAACATAATGTTGGAGTATTTGGTGTTGTTTCTTTGCTACTGCATTGAATATCTATTTTATACTGACCAGCGGTAAAAAATACTACTCGACACTCGTGGTATGCTCTTCCATATTCCTGTAACTAATATAAATATTTTTAAATTAATTAAATATTGATATCTCAAATGATATATATATTTAAAATAATTACTTACAGCTGGAAGCATTACTTTATTTGCACCAGCGATGGATAATCTCGTATCTAGTTGATAATTATTAACTCCATTATGATGATCTTGGTAGAAATTAATTGATAATATAAGATCACTAAGAGGGTGTTCTAATGCATTACATACACCTACTCCAACGCTAACACATTCACCCAAATTACATGTTAGTTCGTCTTGAGCTTTTACCATTGTATCATTTATCGTTACTTCTGTAAAGCAATTCAATACAAATGTATTCTTTAGGTTTAAGTAAATTAAACGAGATAACATTCGAACATACCCCATTGTAAAGGACTCATTCTAACAAGATCCAACATATCTTGAGTAAGAGTAATACCAGAGAGAGTTGCTTTTCCAGTAGATTCAGTGCCTAATAATTGCCAATGTAAATCTACTAACGAAGCAATGTGTTCAGCACAAACTTTTTGAAGCTCTCCAACATCTCCTCCTCCATTTAACTAAAAAGAAAAGATTAATAAAATAAATAACAAATAAACAGATAATAAATAAGTCAGTATAAACATAATATACCATAGATAATTTATTAAGTGGGCATCTATCTACTGGAACAGGTATTCTACACGGTTCTTTGCCTTCCATATATATACACTTGTTTTGAGTATAATGTAGCTCCATTTCATGATTTGTCATATTTGTAACGTCCAACACAAGATAAAATTGTGATGACCTAGACATTATTTTTTATAACGAAGTATGTGACTGATTAAAAAAAGTACAATATTGATGATCATTTATTTTACTTACGTTTCTGCCGGTAATACATCCCAATTTGTAATATGTATACTAGGTAACATTTCAACTGTTATAAAAACAGACGAAATTCTACAATAGCCTGCTGCTAAACCAGCACCACCAGAATATTTTATTTTCAATTGCCCTTCAATAACATTTGAATTATGCAATGGCACTGCAAGTTTAGACAATCGTGAACTTGCTAAAGAAGAATGACCAGAGTGAGAACTCAAACCCGATCTAAAGGAAGAAGTCAGTTCAGATTGTCTTTTAGTATGATGAGATGGAGAACTTAATCTAGATGGTAGTGAACTATGTCCTGAATGTGATAATAAACTACTTGGTTGACTGAGGTAACTATTGCTATTGATATCTGAAAAATACATACATAAATAAATTAACAACTAATTTATCTCTCTTCTTACAACATGCGTATAAAAAATATTACCATTTCTAGATACAGGTGCAATAAAGTCTGTGGCAGCATATAAGTATAATGTAAGACTTGCACTAGTGCAAGGTTGCAAGGGCAATTGGGTCATTAAATTTTCATCACTCCATTTAAATATTTTTCCTTCCGTAATTGTATCTAAAGTAGACTGTACTGACAATTCTATCATTTCAATAGGAACTTGGCCTACATTTGTTATTGTTATAGTACATTCAGCACTAAAAGAGACCAAATAAAATTATATTTTTAGTTAAAAGAAATTTTAGATATTTTAAAAAACTGACCTTTCTCCTCCATATAATGATATACTAGCACTTGTAACAATATTTTCACCGGAACTGAAACTTGCAGTTTGAGGTAAACTTGTAGCAACATCTAGTCTTGGTAAAGCTGGAATGACCTCAACAGTATACTGAGGATGCATCATTCCTTCCATATGCCTTAATCTGCAATTGGACTTAACTCCTAATGTATGTGTACTGAAACCAAGAATTTCTAAATCTCCAATTTCTTTCGGTCTACCAGCTAAGGTAACAGCTATAGGTCCAGATTCAGCAGGAAGCGTAATACTTTCTGGTATTGATTCAAATACAACACCATTAGTAAGAAGTCTCATATTAGACACATGTAATTCAAATGGTAATGGATTTATAAATTGCATCGATACTTCACAGATATCTCCTTCGACCCATAAGTAATCTATAATATAATAAACTCCATGTAATTAATGATTGACGTCCAAAGATATTCATTTAATGCAAGCTATGAATTACTGTACCCATTTTACTTTTGGACATAGTTTTACGTTCTAATGAACCAAAGTTAATAGGAGTAAATAAAAATGGACCATGATCTTCTTTGACTCGTTCAATTTTTTGTGGCTGCAAATGTGGTTGTAAATTTTTCAGAGAAAAATACTTTGTTTTTGGAATATTTATTAAATTAGCCGGTGGAATAACTGTTCCAGAATCTAAGACCTATTAGAAACGAAAGATATAGTTTTATTATAGAATGTATTTATATAATATATTTGTTAAACTTACGAGAGGAACAGGAGCACCTTCGCATTGCTGAGATACAGTTTGAAGTTGTAATGAAGTTTCTTTACGTTCAGTAGGCGTTAAATGATTATACATAGTTTGAAGTAAAAATGTTAAATGTCTTGTAGCTAATGCTGGATTACCCATACGATTTGCAGCAGCAACAAGTTCGTTTATAACGTGTATTTGAATGACAGGCCAACCTCTATGCCCATCTACATAGAAAATACATTTATAATTAAAAAACAGTTTCTTAAAAAAGAGGAGAAATACATTGGTCTAATGCATTTATTACCTGCAGGCATATCAATAGGATCTAAGGACAATTTGAAACCAGAAGTAGCTTGTAACATTAAATTATAACATTGTTGCCAATCTGGACTAGGATTATTTTGAGAAACATGACGGGTAGCAGCTAATCGTAAACAAAATGCTGCTTTTCTTACAAAACCGAAACTTGTATATAAATCTGATAACGTAGTAAAACGGTCGATCTAAAATAAAAATAATATATATATATATATATATATATATGTATTTAATTAAAGATTTTTATGTTATAGATTTCAAATTTGTAATTAAAATATCTATGATACCTTTTCTTGTTCACTCAAAGTTAAATTGATAAGTATAACATTGTTTAAGTAAGATGCTGCCTGCAAGGTACAATTTTGTTCTATTGATATCCTTGTTGCTTTAAAGCTTGCTTCCGTTTCAATTATACCTGCATACTGATATTTACTATAATGAACAATTGCTTCACGATATTTTTTAGATATTTCTTCAGGTAATAAAATATGTGGCATATTTGTTTTTACTACATCAATAGTAGGTGGTGATGGTAATACAGCGATAGCTTGAGAGCCTCGTCTAAAAAAAAAATATATAATATATAAATATAATATTCTATAATCTAATTAAATATTATAAAGAATAGAAATATTTTTTGTAAATTATACATACCTCTGCTTACCTGGACTTCCTTCTTGAAGAGAAGAATTTCTTTGTAATGGAAGATTTCTGCACATATTAGGATACAAAACTAAAACAGAAGCAGCACATAATCCTTCATAAGCAGCACCTAGCCACAGCCAGTCATTAACAGCTTGTAAAACATTAGCTGCTGAATTATAATGATTCAATGCATCTGTTGGGAGCCCAGCTTGAAGGCACAAATCTCCTAAATGTTTTGTCATACGTCCCACACATCTTTTTCTATTATTCCTAGATTCAAGATCTAAGCCTATGAAGTCTTTTTTTTCAAAGGGTGCTAAAAGAAGAGATACACGATCTATTTTCTCTCTAGATCGTTCTAATCTTTTAGATTCTAAAATCCAAAATAATGAATGAAGACATTCCACTATATATGTTTCAAGATCAGGAGAAGATTCATCTGTATAAAAAACAGCTTGTGTTTTAAAATTGGATGGAGTACTGAATGATTCTGGTGGATCACGAGGATTATTTGTTTCTACTGGTCCAAATAAAATCGCCCGAGAATCATACAACGTGGCAGTATATTTTACTTTTAAAGTCTCATGAAGTCTGCACAGTTCATTCAATTCTGTTTGATTATCGTACTTGCCAAATGTTATTAGGCCCAAAAGCCTTCTATGCGTTTGAAATTCTCCCCAGTCATTATTTTCTACAGGATGATCTTTGACAAATCGAGCAAGTATTTCTCGTGTATTACCAGAGGAGTCTCTTACAGTAAATCTATTCCCTGCCTTGATGATACGTTCAAATAATCTAGAAACTGTTTTTTGTTTTATCTGTGTACCAATCGGTTTCAAAAGTAAAAGCAGTGCCGCGTGATCATGAGCGGTTTGCTCGTAATCAGGGTGAGACATCTTATTGTCGGGCACTGGACTCGACAAAATAGCACTAATAGCCGAGCGCATTTATGTGTCACTCAGTATATAAGGGTACTTATATTAAGTACCTTAGACGAACATTGACATTGTTCTTTTTACTTAATTAAAATAAGTTTTTATGAAAAACTGTACTTCAAAACTAATATTTATCAGAATCATAATATATAATATTGTATATTTAATATAGTTTGTCATATGCAACGTATGCGATTGTGAGATCAAAATGACAGGTATCAATGCATCTTGTTACTGCCATTTTGAAAACAAGAAATGCGCACGCGCAACTATTGTGGAATCAGCTGACAGAAATAAGGAAATAAAAACAAAAAAAATTAATATCCGATTTATTTTCATTTAAATCTTCGTAATCTTCTCTTGGTTCTATTATTAACATATGTTAATAATATTTATTATTAGTTATAGGTCAGAATTAAATAATTAAGTAATTGATCATTCAATTTATTATTTCCATTTACGTTAACATTTACAATGTTTATATATATTTTTATTTTTTTATATATGCAATTAAATTGTGAAATTCTTAAAGAACTATTATAAAATGTGGCACAGAGGGAATTAACAATATCCTAATACACTGTATATGTGACATGTTTCTATTAGGTGTATTTAACAAATATATGTATAATAGAAATAACACCATACTAACATTGGCAATAAAGAAAGGTATTGTAAAAAAAATAAGTATATTCTCACCTAGATATTATTAATTATTAATTACTTAGGGTCTCTCATGCAACGGTTATAGAATAACATGAGCATCTTTGTATATGCATATACATATGTAGTTATATTAAGCACTAATCCAATTTAAATTATAATATTTTTCTTTTTTAAATCTTTTCTACGAATTTTGTTTCTGTAGAATAACACAGCCTTCTATCGAAAAATACTATTGATTGACATAAATGAATACATTATATATATGTATATACCATCTACATTTCCAAATATAAATGTATATAGCAATCCTTATTGTTATTATATTTTTCACATCATAAACATTATGTAAACAATAAATACGTAATAAAATAATCCAATTAATCAACAGTAACGAAACGAAATACAAATAAAAAAGATATTTTCTTACATTGTGCATACATATTAAAATAAAATACTATGATCACACGATGAAAAAACATAGAAATTTTTATGTGCACTGTTAATTATTCTTTGTTTTTTTTTTTCTTGTATTTCGATCAATATATCATGCATATTTTAATAAGAACTGATATATTATGTGTGTTGCTGCATCAGTACTTTATAACAATAAAATTTTGTGCAATAATGAAATATCTATAGAATACTTATCATACATGTTATAATAGTAACATATTAAGATTATCTTGGCATATGTAGCTCCTCATTATAAAATATAGTATGTAACCAAAAAGTAGATTTCTTAATTTGAAATTTGTAATTCTTCATACATCTGGTACAGAATGGTCCATTAATGTTTTTAATAAACTAGTTGACATCCTGTACAAAAAATTAAAAAGAAACAATTATACTTTAATATCTTCAATCTTACAACAGAATAAGTTACCTACTTTTTAACCATATGATCATAAATATATGATGGAATTACAGTAACTGTTATAATATTTCCACCATTTTCTATTTCTGTTGTTACTTGTTTATCTTTCAATCCAACTACATTCTAAAAAATAATATAATGATATTATATGTTAAATAACTTTTACTAATTATAATATAAGAAATAGATTCACACACATAAAAAGAGAGAGAGAGAGAGAAATTTAAATAGGAAGTTATTATACCTTGCCATTAATTTCTAGTATTTGATGATCAATTAATAATCCATTTCGTGCAGCTGAAGAATCTTTTACCAATGCAATTATTTTTCCATTTTTAAATTGAAATCCAATGCAACCAGAACTGTCCTTGTGCATAGTAACAGTACGTTCAAATGGTCTAAAAATAAATAGATTAGATATAAATTATTAATATAATACATTTGGCAAATCGAAAAATAACATATAATAACATATTATAACTAACCTATCACGAACAACAACTTTAATGCCATTAACATCAGCATTACGAAACAGTTTATGCACTTGATCCATTGTATATCCAGCTACGCATTCATCATTAACACTTAGAATTTGATCACCAAAACGTAACCCAACAAGTGCAGCCGGAGATTCTTGACTCACAAGACATACAAAGATACCATTATTTACAGAATGTACTCTTAGGCCCACTTTTCCATTTTTATCTTTACATAATGTTAGCTGAAACAAAATCATAGTTATTAAAACAGTAATAATAAAAACTATCAATTTGATTATATTAAAATAATATCAATAAATATTGATATTTATATATATTACCTCTCTAATTCCATTTGTAACATGTGCTCGTTGGAGACCCAAAGATTGTCCAGAAAGTGGTGCTACCATATTGCTTAATGATCTAGATGTTTCTGCAGGTGTACTCACTGCCATCTAAGATTACAAGCAAAAATTATGGAAAATATGAACATTATAAATTACATATATATATTACAACTTACATTTGCTTTGGTAGAAACAGTATATTCAGGCAAATTGTTTTCAATCATCTTGTTGCTTAGATCCAAGCCCATATAATCTCCTAAAGAAGGATATATAGGGCCAGATGGAGAAGAATCATAAGCAGGAGCAGAAGGTGCCATAGGTTCAGGTAATACAAATGGTTGTGGAGTAAAATATTGGGATTCCGCCTGCATTTGAGCCTATAAGAATAAAACTCTATGGTAGTATTGTGAAGCATGATATTAATAACACGTAGTATATTAATTATTAATAGGATCAAGTTTCTAAGGATTAAAAATCTTTCTCTTACTTTCATCATATGGTCCACCTTCATATCTTCGAGAGTTGGATAGAGAGACATTTTGTATAATTCTGCAATTTAATAATTTCATAAAAGAATTAGAAATTACTGACTACATGAACATTATTAAAACGATATTGTAAGACAATATGTTTGTTACATCTACATCAGACATTATTATGTAAAATTGAATAACATAAGATTAAGTTACAATCGTTAATAATATAATTTCTAGTCATATTTTTTCCTAGTATTCATTATTCATTAATTTTTCTACGCAATCCAAAGAAGGAAAATATTTTGTATACTTATGTTAAAATAATGAGACATGTCCGTCATGAGATGTCATATAGCAATGCAACGATAAAAATTCTAGTTCTGAATAGATTAGATTTTATCGACGATTTTCAATATCGTGAAAACAAACAACTTAATAAATATCTATTTACTTACTCGATTAATACTTGTAAATCAAGAATAAAAGCTGATAGAACACTCGTAAAGAAACAGAGAAACTGTCAAAAATGTATTAAACAAGAGTGCGTTATTGGTGCGTATTCGATGCGTTCAATGCGTAGCACTCAATGAAGCATACTGGAAAACTGGCTTTGTACTGACTCACACTCAATAACTTACACTGTTCCACAAATTCTGATAACACTTGTATCATATCCAGTGTTGTCAAATCTAAACTTCATCTAATACGTCAGCAGCATCACATGCAACAAATGCATTGAGGCGAGTATATACTATATATATATATACTTATATCATAATTGCATTTTGTTTTCAATGTGTATAATTCTTAGTATATAATTGATTTTTTCATTTAAACTTACTTCATTAGATACATTAGATTCATTGAATGCATAATTTCTTGAAAGCTTTAGAAAGGGTTAACCTTTGAATTAAATAAAAATTTATTAAATTTATATAAAATGTAAAAATATTAAAGATTTAAAGTAAAATTGTTAGTAAATATATTTATATAAATATGAAAAAGAAAAATAAGAAAAAGATGTAACAAACCGTAAATTTAATAATGGCGCCAACCAAATTCAGAGACATCTAGATTGAAATTTTATAATTATGGATTTTGGCGCTCTATTTATGATACTAAGTGTCACTATTACTACTATTTCTATCAATATATCAATAAATTATATTAATTCAAAAAAAATATGGATAATAATAATATATTTATTTATACTTTGAAATTAAGTACAGCAAGAAATTTGAAGAAGATTTTAAGATAAATTTTGTTGAAGCTAAAAATAAGAAATTGAAATTATGAGTGGAGGAATAGTGCCTAGCAAATCTACTGTATATATATCAAATTTACCATTTTCATTAACAAATAATGATATCCATCAACTCTTACAGAGTTACGGAAAGATAGTGAAGTAAGTCTTCGATATAATTAGATCTTATATTTAATGCTTAACGATACATCAATATGTAACAATTGAATAAAACCTAACCTTTTAACGTTCTTACAGAGTAACTGTAATGAAAGATAAAATAACACGACGTAGCCGTGGGGTTGCATTTGTATTGTTTTTAAAACCAGAAGATGCTTCTTCATGCTCAAAAGGTCTTAATAATACACAGGTAAATTTTTATTAATTGTATAATATTTGTAACTGGGTAATATATACTTGTAATTTGTCAAAATATTTAGTAATGATTGTATTATTAGATAGGTGGTCGTACCATAAGAAGTTCTATAGCAGTTGATAATGGACGCAGTACAGAATTTATACGTCGTAGAGATTACCCGGATAAGTCTCAATGCTATGAATGCGGAGAGGAAGGACATTTATCTTATGCATGTAGTCATAATATGTTGGGGCCAAGGGATCCACCACCGAAAAAAGTTAGAATCAGAAAAAAGAATAAAACTACGGTTACTCATGATACTAGCTATTATGATAGTGATAGTGATGAAGGTTTAAGGAAGTCCAAAAAATCAAAGAATGTTGATAATGATGATACTGATGACAACTGTTCGGAAGTCGAAATGGAAACATTAAGTGCGGCTATCAAACAGGAGGTATAAGAGTTTCTGAAATGTTCTGTTTAATTTTTTGTAATATATCAACATTTTAATATTACCAAATATACTTTTTTTTATAATACAGCAACATCTTAGAGAGCTAGAAAAATATAAGCATAAGGTAGCAACAGGTCAATATGACGAGGAACATACTGAATCGGTTGTAAGACAAAAACGGTATAAAGAGAATTCATATTTCAGCGATGAAGAGGATATCAGTGAGTAAAAATATGAGAGACTGTATTTGAAATTATCATATAATTATAGAGATTATAAGTATCTAATTAGATATCTAATTAGATATCTAATTTAAATTAAGTTTCTTAAATAATAAAAAATTTCACTTAAAAACAGTAAAATAAAATAAGGAATAATGATCACAGTGGATTTACCAAGCACATTTAAAATATTTGGTATATTATCGAATTATATATATATATGTATATATATATATATACTGTATTTCTAATCGTAATAATATTATATACCATTAATCACCATTACATTAATTACAATATAAGCAAATGAAACGTATCATTAGAGATTATTTTCTAGAGATTAAATGCTGAATCGAAGTATTTTGATAAATTAGCGCATTTATCCTCGCATAGAGTTTATATCAGAAAGGCTAGTGAACACAATGTTACAACTTTGAATATGCTTCCGTACATTACATATATACAATTCTGTTCATTATAATGAATGAAATCAAAAGTCTAAAGCAATAATAAAATAGGGGATGTGTTAATATGTATGAAATCATATGCATTGGTATTGAATGCAAAAGTAATTGAGGTCATCTCTATATGAAAATTTTATTAATGAAAAAATATTATTTTGTGATATGAAATTTCGTGAGAGCGAAATACATTTTTTCCCATTAATATTTGTTAACTTTGTTCGTTTTTTATGAGTGATAAGCTAGAAAACAACATGTCAGGACTGCCATTGGAATTTTTTTTGGTGACCAGAACAATATTGAATGCATATATTTGCATGAAGTATACAGGCACTCAAATCAGTTTACAGTTTTGGAAACTAATTGACTTTTTTTTTTGTTAATTTTTTCATGCTGCGAATATTATTTAAGTGATAAATATTAATATATATAGTTTATAAATGACTATCATTGGTAATAATTGACTACTGGATTATTCGTTTCTTTGATGCACATTATGTTACGAGAAGAGAGAATCTATTTAATGAATTAAGTACAAATTTTAGAAGGTCATAATCATTACAATGTATGATTAGACTATAAATTAAATAAAAAACGTGAATTTCGGTAAACATTATTTTTTCAATATTGAAATTTTTTTCATAATCTTTTGTAGCAAGAGTCAGACTTGTATGATAAATTGATTTCACAATAAACTCCTTTGACATGATAAGTGGATTTTTCAGCAGTGAACACATATTTCTATATATTAGTGTGTATTTTAAACAATAGATTTGTTATAGAGACCGTTGAAATTTTGTTCTTTCTACATGTATAATTTAATTGAATATAATTCTGTTGAACAATTTCAGTATGTATTATCGATAATTCTTCTCGCACAATAATATTTCGACTAAGTAAATTATTATTATTTTAAAAAATAAACATGAATGCATAGTCAATGCAATAATATGTTAATCCAGTCGTTAGGATCATTAACTACAGACAGTGATTGGGAATATTGAAGAAAGGGAAAGGTTCATGGACAGAGTACGAAACATTTATCTTTAGTTTTGTACACTGAGATTTTAAATTGACTAGCTCTACGAATGGAAAACATTGATTTTCGGGGGTCTTGTGGCCTGTAGCTGGATACTGGAGAACCCTTCTCTCCAATAATAATCTTATAATCTATTTAATTAGAAAACTAAATAATAAAATACTGATAATTAAGCGCATAATTACTAAGAATTGTAAATAATTTATGAATGTAATATTGCATGAGTTATCGTGGTAATGATATATGAGAGAAAAGATTAATTAATATGACTCTACCATTAATAATAAAAGAGTTCGATAATATCCAGCCAATAACGGGTCACATCGACCTTCAACTACTTATGGATGGATTACATGTGTTGGGCCTTCTTAGGCATATAAATTCTATACAAGAAAGAAATTTTCCGTTGTATCTCACCACTTCTTAATACTCTACAATTATAAATATACTCCGCGACAATACTATAAGACATCATATAAAACTATATAATTACGTGAAATAAGAAAAAATTTCCCCTTCCTTCGTAGAGAATATTATTAACTGGGTACCACTTAATGATACAAGGTAAAGGATCAAAAAGTGCATAGTTGTCAAAACTAATATCAAAAAATTACTCCGAGGGTGAAGTAATGCCAACAGCGGTTGCACTATTCTAGTAACTTGATTCAGGAGGAACCAAGGAGAAAGTTTTTAGTGGGTGTGAGCTTAACATCTGCCCCAGAAGGTGAATAATGACTTTTCCTTTTCCAAAAAAAATAGAGTTGTGTCTACGATCTATATTGAGCATGCATGATCGCTAAAAAATAATACAAAGGAAATTTCAGATTTTTCCCTAAACTAGCATTCAGAAAGGAAGAAAAAGTTATTTAGAATAATGATCTTTACAGCAAGGTTATCGAAATCAGTGAGGGGAACAAACTTTTTGATAATTACGAAGAAAATGATTAGAAATAGAACTAGTTTTTAAATTAATTATCCACTGTGAATACAACCGAAAATAGATTGCAATTAAACCCAAGATCGTCGAGCCTATCTTAAGCTTATTATCTAATATTAAAGCTAACATTATAGTCTACGTACATTTAGTTCACATTCCATGGTACTAAAACGCAGATCAAGCAAGCCAATTTGAAACTATTTTCTATTATGTATCACTTTATTTCGGTATGATCGATGTTAAAGATGGCATTTCGTAATGTAATTACAAGATTGTTATATATTTAATACAATTATAGATAAAAGACTAAATTATAAGAAAAATTGCATCTCTCTCATGTAATTATTATAATAAATTTAAAACGAATCATAAGAAAAATTTTGTTAGGATATAGGTACTTGTATGTTTCTTTACAAATATTGAATTCACGTGTTCAATACATTCACGTTGCTTTGGCTTGATTTGCGTTTCGATTTGGGACATCGGTCTTGATCGTTTAATACAAATTTACGTTTGAAACATCCTTTTTACTATATCGAACAGTTCAATATGAACTCTGAATTAATAAGTATAATATTTACGAGTATTAATTTTATTACATATTGTTCTAACAAGGTATAAAGTAAAAATCTTGACGATTTGAAAATAGAAAAAAGTATAGGAATATCTCTTAAACATTGTCCCTATAAATATTGCACTTTTATTTCGTCAAGCAAATCAATATACATACTGTGGATATGTTACCGAGTCGTCATAGAAACCGATGAATTATATTTTAGAAATGAAATCATTTCAGCGAAGATAATAATCGACGATAATAAAAAGAAACTTAGGGTAATTTCAATTATCTACACTAACGTTAAATGCATACATGGTACATGTGGTTCATCTATCTATCTATCTATTTAACTATCTATCTATCTGTCTATCTATCTATCTATCTATCTATCTATCGCGATAAGACAAATACAAAATTTAATTTAGTTGTTACGCTATGCATTTTTGTTTTTTTTTCTCTTTCTGTATCTAGTATTCGTATATCGAAAGAATCAAAAAAACAGACGTTTAAGATTTTTAGTAATCGATCTCTTTCGGGTGACTTCGAGTATGACACAAAAAGATACTGTTGTCAAAAACAGCGATAGATCTTTGTGATCGATATCGATCATACTGCGTTTTTTAAACGCTCCAATCACGTTTTAGATCGTTAGTTTTGCATTAACAATAAGTTATAATATTCATTACACGTACGTCCAAAAATAATTCTACAAAATTTACGTTTCTTTGCTAAAGGAAATCGTCTCGAACATCATTAAAATGATGTCGAGACAAAAAGTCTAAAAAAATTCGACGTAGATAAGCTCGAATAGTTTTTTTTTTCAGTATTGATATAATAATGCGTTATAAAAGACGTTACCGACTACAGGCATGACGTTAGTAATTTTTTTTTTTTTTTTTTAAATAAATACTACATTACGTTTGATTGTTAAAGTCTTCGAATTCGATATTCTCTTTCCTGTTAATTTGAAAAATATTCGAGAAATATGAAGATCTCAAAGACAACGTGAAATCTTTCATATTTAATATATCTTTCGAATACTATATTACTAATAATAAAAATATGCAATAAGTACGCTAAAGAGAACTAATTGACGAACGTTCAAAAACATTGTATACACGAATGAGCGATTTTCACAAATGTAGAAAGGAAAAAAACAAGGGGAGCAAGATTTTTCATTGAGTAAGACAGAAATGATCCGAAATAAAGTATTAAAGGATGAAAGCAAATTATTAAATAAAGAAGATGTAATTATCGCAAAAAAAATTGAGAACCAGGAGCTATCGTTGGATCGATAATCGAATTGATCATCGGATCCCCTAGGTATTTCTAAAAGATATGTGGTGCTAGTTGCAACTTCCAGAGGGAGACTGGTCTAGCAAAAACGGTGACCTGACCCTTTTCTTTACCACCAACTAAAAAGACGTATAAAGGTGCAGGTCCATACGAAGGTGTTCCTGAATCGTTCCCATCATTAGCAGCAACCTTAGCCCTTTGCCTTTCAGCTCTGGAGGCACTAACGGCTCGTCTCGAGGGCGAGCCCAAAGGTAGACTCTTAGGCGGTGCTCTAGGAATCCTTCTGATCTCTTGTAATTCAAGAAGTTCAGCAAATGTTTGCGACGCTGACCTACCAGGTTCATCTTCCAAAACACTATCGGGTGGACTGTTCAACATCTTCGCATATTTTCCGTCTTGTTGTGTTTGTTGTTGTTGTTGTTGTTGATGATGATGATGGTGATGATGATGATGATGATAATGCTGATGATGATGATTTCTACTCTCGTCCAAGCCCAAATAATTCGGATTGCAAAAGCCAAATTGGCCCTCACGTATCGTCGTCGAACTAACAATAGCACGTAATTGCTTGGATTTTCTATTCGAAGGCCAATCGTCGTCAGCTAAAGGATCACCCGGACTTCTCGCTTCGATGCTTGCGTAATCCGATGTTGATTCCTCGCCTTCTTCCAGGTCAGCGAATCTCACCGATGCTGAAGTTGGTATTTTTGCCGTGGTCGGTGTCTTTGGAGTTTGAATAGCTGCCTCGTATAAATGAGAACTGTAACTTTCTCCTCGTGTTGGTTGACAAGTGTGATGTATGGAAGAAAAATCTCTGCGGATTGTATCGATTGAATTTATTATTAATTATATATAAAATATTGTTAAGGAAAACTGTACCAACCTCCTTTCCTCCTGAACTTCGATCAGTCTTGAAGTAGGTGGTTCTTTCTTCTCCTCGTTATCGCTCAACTCGTCTGGATCAACGAAAACTAGTCTTGCTGCTTCCACAGGTGTTAGTACCGGTGTTGGTAACGTCAAAGCTCGAAAATTTGGCACCGAAATAGGATCCCTGGTCATGCCACTGCCAGTATTATTGTTACTATTGCTAGATTCTGTTGCTTTAGTCGTCGTTTCCGGCGGCTTCTGTCTTCTACGAGCTAAGGTATTGGCACTTCGAGACTTTACCATTCCCATTGAAGGTTCTACGGCTTCTACGTCCACTTGCTGAAATGGATAATACGTATTCGCCTGCGTACAGGCTCAGTTCACTCATTCAGCCTACGTTTTTTATTATTGCAACAAATATTAATTTACATTTACAGCTCAATCTACTTGTGCTCGGTACAAAATAAACAGTTAGAGATATACTCACCATCAATTAGTAATAATTGATTTAAATAAGAAAATAAAAATAATAAATATTACCTCCTGAGGACTTTCCTCATTATCGTCCTGTCCACTGAGTACAGAATAACTACACTTGGTTGGATGACTCAATCTCGACAGATTGATCTGCGACAATTTGGAGATTTCTTTGAGAAAACTAGGCCTCGTAGATGCTTCGTTCGGTGATATTCTATTAGCACACAATCTCGTTCTTTGATTTTTTAATTTTGGCTTAGGATTATCGGTAGTGGTACCACGAATCAATAACTCAGATACTGCCAAGGCAACGCTCTCTGCTCTAGGCTGGGGTTTTGGCCCTGATACAGATAATTTCTCCCAAGTTTCCGTACCTGTAATAACGGTCGAAGAATTTTCACAAAACTCAAATTGTATATAATATATGCATGTATTTATATATTCATTTAACTCATTTCATATTTCTTACCAAAATGAAACCTCCACAGTTCATTAGTTGCGAGACCACCGCTCTCTCCGCCAAAAATTAACATGCAACTTGGGAGTCTGCAAGCAGCATGACCGTGAAGTGGACCCGGTCCAGGTTTGTTCTTCAGCATCAACCAAGATGCAGTATTAACGTCCCATCGCCAACAATCGCTTCTCTCTTGTAAATCCGTCATACCTCCATAAATATACATAGCATCTCCATGTAAAACGGCTGAGTGTTTGTGTCTCGCAGCTGGACCACTTTCGCTGGATGATAATAGGTGCCAAGATTCTGTTTCTATAAATTTGAAAGGCAAATTATTATAACATCTATTTTTATCTGTGTACTTTGATTTTTCTTTCTAAAATATAGTTTGCGAAACACGAAAAAACTCACCAAAATGGAAAGCCCATAATTCGGGAGAGCTACCCCGTAAATCTTGATAACCACCATAGATAAGCATTTGACCTCGATGGACCAAGGCCGTATGACCTCTTCGACCTCTAGGAACCACGCAACCTCGTTGAGCTCTAACCTTTCTCCACGTATTCGTCTGAAAAATTAAGAAACAAATTATTATTCAAACCAATTGTGATTTAATCTTTACAATCGTGATAATTACGTGATTAATTTGACACAAAAATAATATTTCTAAATTATCAAAAGAGTGAAATAAAAAATAAAACTTTATAATTATAAATTTAATAAAAATATAAAGAAGTTATACACACTGGCGATCTGTTAGCGCGAAGAAAAAAGCATTTTCATGAAATGTCCTTGAATTATGTACTTTTTGAATTTAAAGAGACCAAAATTACCGCAATTAACAGAACGAAACTTCTATCCTTTTTATCATTGGAATTTTGTAGAAATTCGTTTATTAAAAGCCGAGGATGCGTCATTTTTTTCCCCTATTTTCTTTATCTAAGCCAGCAGGAAACTCTTGAAATGCCCTCGGATTATGAAGGTGGAATGAATGGAAGCTCCACTGTCTGAATTGCGTCTGGGCTTATTTTTGTAATACTGTGGAAGCTACTTTAGAAGAGAGTTTTACGATACTATACGTAATTATTGAAGTTACTTCTGTCCTCATTCGTACACGAACAAAAAACCCCTTGCAATTTTATGAAACAATATTTTTTCATAATATCGTAGTAATTAATCCTATTTTTTTTTAAAGCAATTATTTTTGTCATTTTAATAAATTGAACAAGATGTTTGCAAATATCTTTTGACAAAAGGATTATTATTTCGATTATGGAAAACAAAAGAACGTCCGTGTTAGGATTGCTCGCAACCCTTCTTTCCTTCCTTCCTTCCTTTCTTTCTTTCTTTTATTTTGCGTATCTACTTTTTTTTTTAAAGAAACACGCGTAAGACATCGTTACAGCTCGTCGTTACGAAATGCTTTACACTATGCACGTGAAACGTTAATCGTGAAAGGAAGGGTAGGTGACCTTTTCAGAGTCACCATTAAATCTCTACCTGAACACTTACGCGTGTATATATGTATGTATGTATGTATATATTCGAATTTAAGAAACATTCGTTAAACATCATAGGCACCGAGAAATGTCGAGAATAGTTTCCATAGAAACGACACGAAGCTTCCATGAATATATAAACTCGTTCGTGGTTGCAAAGCGAAAGCTAGTCGGCCCTTCTTACATTTTATTTCACGAAAAGAATACGAACGAAAGAATTCGCGTAAATTTTACAAGGTCTTTACCATTTGAAATTTACGTACGTTGCATATACGTATACATATATATATATACATGTATGTGTGTACGTTATTAAAAGAAGAAAAAAAAAAATGTGTGTACGTTAAAAAAGAAGAAAAAAAGAAATGAACGAATTTTTGATTTTAAATGTTATTATTAATTTTCTTTTTTTTTTTTTCTTCATTTTTCCCGAGTAAGTAGGACACATGCATTATGCTCCATTTTTTCTACAGAGAAAAAAGAGAAAAAGCGTACCTCCTCTATTGCTTGATCTAAATTTAGATAGATATACATATGTATCTATGCAGGTACATTAAAACCAATAAACGATGGAAAATACTGTTAGAATCTTCGTCGTTCATTCTCGTAGAAAATTCGGGCATGCGTGGTAAACGCGTGTTATTCAAGGCACATCCAACAATTCTATCTTAACTCTCGGCGAACTAAGAAAACGAGACTTTGGAATAAACGACCATAGCCATAATAAATAGAGCATAGAAATCGTTAATGTACCTACAATACTAGTTTCTAATAGCCTATTTCCGTATAGTAAACGTATGGAAGAAAGATTTGAAATTTTTACGGATAATAAAAATCGTCAATTTATTTCGTGGCTTTTTTTTCTTTTTCAAGAACAAAAAATATTTCAATCAAATTTCAAGATCGTGTTTGATCTTAACAAGATTTCAAAATGAGGGAAGAGTGTTACTTATTGAAAAAGCGATTCTTTATTATTCGAAAGAGGGTAAAAATAATATAATTAGAGAGAAAGAAAGAAGAATATGAGGAAATTTGAGTAAAGTCGAGGAAAAATATCACGAGTTTATTCATTATTTTTCTAATATTTCAATAACTATATATATATATATTATATAAGAACATTTTAGTTTCTTGTCTTTTAATCTACTTTAACTATAGGATGTTTCCAAGATTTCTAGGAATATCTGTTAAAACGACGATTACTTCTACAGGATTTTACTTTATTTCTCTTTCTTTACGTTCATCCCCTCTCTTGTTTCCGCTCTTTTTGAGGAAAACGGACGTAGGTAGTTCTTTTGATGTCTAGTGGCAATCACGGGTCTTTTAACCCTAGTCAGTTGGTATGGACCAGCGTATCAAGAAGGAGGAAGTACGTCGAAACGGTTATGCGTGTGTTGAAGGGTAAAGAAGAGGGAAAGATGAGAAGAGGAGAGGAGAGGAGAGGAGAGGAGAAGGAACGAACGATAAGGGAGGAGGGTACATAGGCTGTGTAGTGTATACTAGGGGGTGCTGAAAGTAATTACGTAACTCAAAGTACGTGCCTAAAGTTGATAGCTCGGTATAGCTACTTTTCACATTTTCTCGAGCCTCTAAGCATCCTGACTCGATAACGAAAACGGATTCAAAATGCGAGACCAGCAATTAATTTCACGTTAAATTTACTTTTTTTTTCTTTTTTGTTATGTTTGTTCCTTGCTAATTCTGAAATACCTATTTTGATTCTTTCTTGTTAAGCAGGAGAATGTATATGTATCAAATTTAGCGAATATACTCTTATTCAAAGCGAAAAAATCGTACATACGTTCTACCGTAAAGGATATGTATCTACTATATATATATGTATGTGTGTCTGTTTCTGTGATCCTATACACGACGGTATATTTTAACGAAGGGCAAAGAGAAAGTGAAAAAAAAGAAATGACTCGCGGGTACAAAAAGAGCACCCTTCTCGGTTTAGCCAATCGGGTTTATGTTTGTTATGTTCGTAATGCGGATTTCAATAATGCAACGAAACGAAGCAGCAAATATTTTCGTTTTTTCAATATATTTCATTAATTAAAAGCTCAAATCATTGGTTACCATATTAACTAATTAAAAAATCTTTAAGTTTATTATCATGAAACGAAGGCTTTTTAAATGAGAGAAGATGTTCACTTCAAATTTGGAGTTATCTGGCCTGAGGCAGTTAATACGTAGGACGATATCACGTTAAACTTAGCGGAAAGCAAGCCATACATTTCTTATAAAACGTGTGTGTATCATACGACTGCATGCACACGAGTTAGCTCGATGCTTATCCATTCGGTTTAATGTGCTCCTCTTGCAGCAGAGTATTCACTGTTGCAAGACTTTAATATGACACTGTACATTTTCTCGTAAATAATAAAGGCTAATAAATAATATTTCAGGAAATATTTCAAAAAGAGAACGTATCGTAACGCAATTGACATAAAAAAAAAAAATAACATAAATGTTCTATTTTACATAACGATGCAATTGCATTTTTTTAATGACGATGCAAGAAGTTATTTCCGCGCCACGCGAACTTATGGGACAACCTAATATCTGTTGTCTTTCCAATGAGTCTTCTTAATCAATAGCAGCACACACATATATACATATATATATATAAAAAAAATAGAGTATAGCGATGAGACAAAAGAATGGAGTCTGCGAACGTATCGAGTGAAAAGAGATAACTGTGTGTGGTCGCTCGTTGACGAGGGAGAAGTGCCACTAGCTCATTTATCCCCGTCCTATCTCGTGTACCCTCGTAAAACCCACCCCTAGATTATGGCGTCTCCAATTTCTTTCACACCATACGCGAATGGCCGGCCTTGTAATGCATTCGCGAGAAAGAACCATGGAATATTTGCATTTGCGAGAAAATATGTTTTTATTTTTATCAAAAATTTAATATCTTTCACATTACTTCGTATATAGAATAAATTTATATGTCAAGTAATAATTAATGATGACGAAACAAAAAAATGTGAAATTGAAATTTGATCCGTCTTTTAAAGGTTTGTTTTGTTCATTTCTAAAAACAATGCTCGTAGTTATTTGTTAAACATGTACGACAAATCGAACGACGTGTCGAGTTTTGTAAAGGCTGAAAATGTCACCACCACCACTACAACCACAACCACAACCACAACCACAACCACCATCACCATCACCTGACATCTTTTCTAGTTCGTAGTTTACGCCAACGCTCGTCAGGACTTCTCATTTGAATTCGACGACGTTGCTCTCTCCTCAGAATGATCGATTACTCGAAACGTATCGATGTGTTTTCCATTCGCTAGAAATTCTGCAACGTTAGGATAGGTGTTTAGGTATGATGTTAGGCCAGACATTGCTACTACTGACAGTGACAAATGACTTCTTCTCTTCTCGATAGGTAAAAGGTAGAATTCGATCGTACTTGCGTTATGTTATTTTTTAATCTCATTGGAAGGCAAAAAAAAAAGAAATACTTCGGTTACACTCTTTCTCTCCTTTTCTCATTATTTCCATTTCTCTTGATAACAACGATTCGCACGGGTGAGTCTCGTGTATATGTATACCAGCAAAAAAAAAAATTCTTCCTTAACGATCCTTACTCGTAAGCGAAAGGGAAGAGAAAAGAGAGAAACGAGGGTTGTTCGATGAACGAATGAACGAATGAACGAACGGAAAGAGGGATGATGATGATGTACGAGAAAATAAAGGAGAGGAGGAGGAGGAGGAGGAGGAGAAAAGGGAGAAGTGTCGTGCACCCTTGAGAAACCGCTAAATCAATAGCAACGTCATCGGGTACAACGAGTTTTACACGAAAGCGAGCCACCCCAAAAGCATATTTCGCTTTTCAAGGGACGACACCGGAGTCCAAAGACTCCGATGGAAACAACAGAGAAAGAACCATCATCGGGGGACTTCCGTATTGGGCCAACGGTGGTTGGGTTTTCTTCGACTTTCTTGGTACACATACAATCTCTGACAGATAGATCGTTTTCTTCGCCTCCCTTCGTGCAAGTGTCAAGGACTCCGTAGGGAGAACAATAAGAACGTGAAACGGGCAACAAGAATTCTATATATCCTGTCTATCTTAACGATCAGGTTTATTCGATTATCATCGATCTGTCGTGCACGTGTATAATTTTCATCCATTTTCATAATAATTCTTTGTCTTATTTTTGTTTTTTTTTTTAAATTATTTCATTAATTTATAAAATCTTTTTATTCTATACGTCTCGCAATAATTCATTACTCGAATTGTTATATTATTTTTTACATTTGATTAATAATAATAATAAAAAAAAGACGGTGGACGATTCTTAAGTACGTTATATTGCAGAAATTTAGTGCAAAAATGTATCGAAGCGTGATATTATCAATCAATTCTGGCGTGGTTACCCAATATTGCCCTTCGTCTCGTTTATCGAATCGAGGGTGCTGAATCCCTCCCTTGGATAGTTGAGATTGTCGAGAGAACTTTCCTCGAGGCTACTGTGTAGACTCGTTTAATCGTATCGTACGAGACCTTCACCACGATTGAATCTTTTAGTAACGATTTCGATACAACCATACTCGACTATCAAATGCAATTTTGTATCTAATTTAACGAGATTTGTCATCCTGATCGTCAATCATTCAAATTAACTTAACTTAATTACCATTTTAAAATCTTTATCAATCGTTCTTACGTAATGAAACTTTTTCAAGTTTGAAGAAGTTTTAAAAATCACGTTACTTAACGATCAATACGATTTTAAACGTTTTATTTCTTTTAAAAGACACATCGTAAAATAGAAAAATTATCTTCGAATGAACCAAAATTTGTATCTCGTAATCGCCATTAAATGAAAGTATGAAGAAGATAATTTGTGGGTTACATTTTACCTTGACATTGTAGACCCAAAGTGGTGTTTCCGTGCCCGCGGAAAAGCCTAATTCTCCTCCGAATACGTAAAGGCAGTCCTTGTACGCTACCGCACTATGTTCTTGAAGAGCCGGCGGCCTTTCTCCCCCAGGATGTAATTCTTCCCACTTACTCTCGGCTGCGAAATAAAATAAATAAGAAGGAACGGTTAATGTGTGTTTAAACCTTCTTTCCAACGTATTTTGTTCACATATTGTCAAATCCAAAAAGTATAGATGTCTTATAATTATATGCAAATTATATAAAATATGGGCAAAAAAATATATAAATTTATATGAGTTTTAATATAATTAATTTACAAATATATCAATTTTGTAACTTGAACAATTTTACAACTTGTACTTATATTACTTGAAACTTTAAAATACTTATTTACGTATATAATATTTCATTGTCATTGAAAAAATATTTGTAAGGAAAAAGAATGACATAAGCAAAATTTATTTGAAAATCATATTTTGGGTATTTCGAAGAGAATAGAAATGAAATGATTTTTCCCGCCCTTACAATCTGTGTACGGTGAAATAAATTTTCACCGTGGTGAGTACTCCCATATTACTGGAAAAAGGAAAGAGAGAGAGATTGCAAGGAGAGGGTTGTTCGTGTCCTGAGGCTTTATATATAAGTAGGGGGATGAGCAAGTATGGAAAAAAAGAAAAATGATGAAATACCTAGGAGAGAAGCATGAGAGATTTGAAAGAACATTAAACTTAATGTTTACGGATGCTTAAAAAGTAAGGTGTTTTATTTGACGAGATAAATCTTATATTCTAAAAACAAAATGGAAAAATGTACGACATAGAAAAAAAAAAACTAACTCGTGCCTGTGAACTTTCTTTTCCTATTACGTCACCAAAGGAAAAAGGTCATCATTACGATTGATGGGTGCATTCAATAGGCCATCAGAAAGTCAAATAATTCGTGTCTTTGTCAGTACTGACAAATCTGGCACCGCGTATTGCTTAGTTTGGCACCATCGCGATGACCTTTTTTTTTATTCTTTTTTACATTTTCATTCGGGGAGTAGAAAAAACTCAGCTGTCTAACGAAACGTGCCCGAGAACAAAGCCTAGAAAATTTACGTAAGAGCCATAACGTGCTTTTTAAAGTGTATGCAGCTCTCGTAAAATGCCACTAGAGATGCCCGACATTGATTACGTACACGTGTCGTATCTAGTCGGTCATAGAACAATATCTTGTCTTATTTTGAAAATGATCTTTTTATGCTAAAACAAAATAAATTTGATTATTTGTGCGATGCAATTGTAGATATATACAATATTTGTGTATGTGTTATGCATAAAATGCTTGATTTCTTTTTTCTAAACTAACCAGACAGTATTTAAAAAACATTCCAATATTATTTATTAAACGCTAGACATTTTTTAAATGACCAACTTGTCGTTTCATATCTGATTTGTAGTATATGTTCTTAAATTTAACAAACAAGTATATGGTGCTCAAAATTAAGCAAAGAATACGTACTCGAGATCAAAAAGAAAAAAAAAGTCATTACGGTCGATTGATATTCTTCTCGAAGAAGAAAGGGGATAGCAGTGAATCAATGGAAACGTGCTAAGATTGCAGATTCATCGTACTTTTCAATTTTAAGATCGTATATATGGTATATACTTTGGCTAGATATATCTAACGTATTAACTGTGTATATACATGTGTACCACCGACAGCTATGAAAACGAAGAGACTACGTTGAAAACAGTTAGATTGAAATCCATGTTACAGGGGACGTTTGTTCCTGATAGGTTGGACGCCATTAACCAACCCCTCTCTCTCAACTTTTCTACCTTTTTGAAGGTGAGGGTGCAACAAAAACATTCTATATGGATGAAGTACTCTTCTCGTGGTTCTCTCGAAGTTATCACAATATTTGCGCACGATCGAGTGTATCTACAACGCTATGCTTTTAAAACGTACTAGACAGAGAAAACGTTCGTCGCCTGATCCAACCCCCATGATATTACTAGGACTCGAGAGACGAGCTGCTACGGTCCAATTCTTTTGATGCTGCTTTAATATTCCCTCAAACCCCCTACAGTCGAACAATCCCCTTCTGATTAACAGAGAGTCACTGGTAAATCCGTCGTATTCTCTTGCCCGAAAAAAATTTATGTTTTTTCTTTTTCAAAAGTTTACAACGCATGTACTTCGATAATGATGTAAAATGTTTACTCGCACCGCATCTCTCTTATTCGTAAATAAATAAAAGAAACATTCGTGATTTTGTTGGGGTTTTTTATTTTAATATAAATTCATTTGCTAGATAACTAATGAATTAATATAACTATACAATTATAGTTAATGTACCGTACACATTTTCTTGTATTTATTTAAAACGTTGAAACTTTAGCTAGAATTTACGTTGAACTTTACATAACAATCGCAATGTGTGTGAATTGCGTTTATGTTTTATGTTATATATAAAATGTATTTGATCTGGAATTCTCCTCTTTCTCTTCGTTAGCTTTGTCTTTCACTTGTTATCATTTCTATCTTAGTCGAATATTTATTTAACTTCCATATCTACAAATATTTATATAGATAGATGATTCTCCCAAGATACGGAAACGTTCGTCTAACCGAGTAAAACTTCATTATTTAGTATTACCAGCTTCAGAATTAAGCGCGTCGACGTTCCACTGACAATGGGTTTGAAATATAGTATAAGTGTATACGTGCCATGTATATATATTAGTCTATACGACCTCACAATTCTACCTAGCTACCAATATTGACCGAATAGACCCGTCGGGAATACGTTTACAGCTCTGGTGGTCCGATAAACCGTACTTTATCCAATTCTAGAAGAGAACTTTGAACTTTCAAAAGATTATAACTTTTACGAAGGATTGAACATTTTCGTGCTGGGGAAAAAGGTGCCATAAAATTGTCTAACGATAAGTTAGGAAAAAAAGAAAAAAAAAGAATAAAAAGTAAAATATATAAAAAAGCAAATTTATATGCCAACAGTGTTTTACATTCTGATAATTAATTGGAATAATTTTCATTGCATATATATAAGTACGCATATGTGTTGATCGTAACGATGCAAGGAAATCTCGAAATGGAATAAATAACGATAACCATATGATACATAGAAGCGTGAAACTCGACGTCACGAACACCGACCGCTGATTATTGCGTCAGAGTGCAATTAATTCACCTATGTCTGATCTCCGTGGAAACAGCCGTAATTGTGGAGTATCGTCGGCGGATTTACTTGATATACGTGGGCTTTAATAATGGCGCATTATTGATCAGACTTTGAACCCCCATTCAAATTCCATCGTGCACCCCTCGTCGTCATGGGGTGAAACGATGGGGTTTGCTGGTCAGATACGGTGTTCGCGTATCGTAACGGAGAGTACTTCGAAACATCGATTCATCGGCACCCTTCATAATTATACACAATTTTCCGAACTCTTATAAATGTACTCAGTTCTTGAGAGTTATGTTGCTAATATTCTTATAGCATTACTGATTTTTTCAAAACACATCTATGTTTTATTAATGTAAAATTAATATATTAGATATTTAATTTTTTACTAAGTTTTACATGTGCACGATATTTATTCATTTATATATTTTATTTTATTATTTAACAAAGTTATATAAGATTCATTTTGCTTTACAGAGAGAAAGCTAAAAGATCAATAAATAATGAAAATGTATCATTTTATTTGTAAAAGATTTTTGTAATTGTTATAATTATTTTCTATCTTTTATTTGCATTTCCAATTGTGTTAGCATATTATAACATTAATGAAACATTTAATTTTAAAATTAGGATATTAATATCAGGAAATTAGGTTTATACACTTACCAAGACTGTACCGCCAAAGATCTTTGAGCGGTAAATTTCCATTTCGACCTCCAAGAAGATATACGTGTCCAGCGAGTAACGTTGCACTGTGTTTACTTCTAGAAGGTGGTGCAGGCCCATTTTCTGTACCAGCTGCAGTAACCGAGCTCCACATTTTTTTCTGAAAAAGAAAGCAAACAAATATTAATTTAAGAAAAATAAGCTATACCTTATTCATGAAGAGAAAATATAAGACAGTTGAAATCTTACGGTCAGATCAAACAGGGTAATGGATTAAATGGTAATCTAATGGAAATAAATGTGTCCACCTAAACGTTCTTCTCTATTTCTTTAATCAAATCTATCTAATTTTCTTCCGTTACAAATATTTTCCAAGTTAGTATCGTAAATCAGTAACTTTGAATGATTCTACATTGACGTCTAGCGTCCAAGTTCATCAATTATTTCTTATCGACGTGATAGTGCAACGATAGTACAGTTATCGATAATACTACTTGAAAGAAAATGTGTTTAAAAACGATCAAAGTTATTATATAACGTTAGATACTATATTTATTCCATATATTTTAACACTAAACACTTACCGACACTTTATGTATACCTATTCCAACCGTAAGCGGTCAAATGACCGGTTAAAAAAGAAAACATATGTAATATCTTCATATAAAATGATATCTTAGCCAATTGGATAGCGAACAATATATTTTCTTTTATTTCAAAATGAATAATGTGTACATTTTATGCGTTTTCATTGTATTTTTTTACAAATTACAGGACACAGTTATTTGACCAAGTGTGGTAGATTTAGTGTTTCCATTCTCTCGACAACTTCAAAGAGCTTTCATTATCGTCCCATTGACAGAAAATACAATAGTTTAACATTTTAGTCAAACATGATCGATAAAAAAAATGGATAAATAACGTCTAGGATTTTGCAACGTTTGACATCATACTGTTTTTTATCAAACAGATTGCAATTAATTTCTCTCTCTCTCTCTCCTCTTTTTCTTTTCTTTTCTCCATTTTCTTCCCTCTTCGTCTATGTGTTTCTATTTGTATGGTATGCGTATACCAAGTAACGCGGTGGAGTTGCGTTTTTTTGTCGTGCTTGAGGGTGAATAATGTGAAACTAAATATTTACAGAGTCGCCACCGATTATTGATCGGCCTCAGCAATGTGTTTATCCGTATCCTGAACAAATATCTTCCGACGATCTTTTTTTCTTGATTCACTACTATCGTTGGGGGAAACTGAGGAAAAGAAAGAAAAAGAAAAAAAAAAAGAAATGATGATTAAATTACCGAAGCGATTAAGCGTAAAATGAAATACCTCGGAGACTCTCTCGACACGACGTAACGAACATATCCCAATCGACTTTCAACATTGAAAAATTTCAACTTGAGACTCGTTAAAACGCGGAAAGTTAATCGCGTAATATTATCGTACGTATTTCATTACCACGAAATATCTTCAACCGTTGTTATGATACTAAAAGTAGCTATTCTTCTTTCTTTTGTTTTTTTTCCACTTTAACAGATGCATTATTCAGATAATAGATGTAGATAATTATATCTACCAAGAGATGGTAGATTTTAGATAAGATCTTTGGCCAGCTTCCGACCGTTTGCCTCTTTCCTTTCTCGATTTCGATCCTACTTAATTCACCCTCTACTTTTTCTTTATCTTCTTCTTCTTCTTCTTCTTCGACCACTTCTTTCGCTCGGATGAAAGAAGATTGATCCGCCCTAAAGGGTACACCCCCGTCGTCACGAGTTTCCACTATCGAGGGATAAACTTTTTGAATTATGCGTTTGTAGTTCGACTTTAACCAAAAACAAAAATTTCGAAATAGCTCACTCTGTTTCGAATGCTTTCAAACGTTCGAACTTCATTTCCAATCTACTTAATATCAACGTAGGCATCGTTTAATATTCGCTAATGGTTCGAATCATTGGAAATGATCGTTTCTCGTTACCACCGAGTAATATTTCTCTTCGATATCGATGTCAATTGTCATACACTTAATTGATTAAATACGAATCTAATTAATTTCAAGCGAATGCACTCAAGAGAAATGTGGGTGGAAGAGAGAAGAAAACAAATTATGTAGTATATTTAAATTATTTTATATTTTAATATATACCATAGTTTAACACTAGATTTACGGACTGAACCAATTTGACTCATTTCAAAATTTTGTGTTGCTATATATATATTATATAGAACTTAAATATTATTTTTTTAAAATATATGTTGATTTTTAATACCGTAACGAAATATACGTAAATATTAATTCCTCATTTCTACGCACTTTTCCATTCAAACAATGTTTGTAAATTTTTACCACATCAGGTGGTAACGATTTCTGAAGGATACAGCAAAAGAAAGGTGACGATCATCATTAATTTTCCCTTTTATCCTCTTCCTCTACGCACACTTCCAAAGGTGACGCATCTGTCTCTTAAGATAATCGACTTTCTCGTCTCGAATACCATGGATTTATCAAAGCTCGTCGTGTGTCCGTGTTAGATAGACGATTTTTATTTCTGCCAAACCAACGATCTTCGTATTTCGTAGAAATTACGCTATTATTTACAATCACCGAACACCGATGGAATAATCAATGATATTTTTTTCATTTTTTTTATTTATCTTTATCGTTTTTACTGTAATGAAGATAATAGTTAAAATAATATGTGATATTATCTAATGATAACGTGGCAACAGTAAACAAATTTAAAAATCAAAGATATAAACGTAATTTATATTCAATACAAGAAAGTTTCCTATCATCTTATATATATATCATCATCCAATTATTCGATTAACTTATGTTAGAGAGAAAGAAGATCTACAAAAGTGTGTGTGTGTGTGTGTGTGTGTGTGTGTGTGTGTGTGTGTATATATATATATATATATATATATATATGTATAACAAAAAGAGAGAGAAATACGTGATACTTGATGGACCTTCTATTGGAATTCATTTCTACGTCTTTTTTCACGCATCCGCGCGTTCATATATAAAATTCAATTATAATTCGACCACATTGAAATCCAGTTTCGAATAAACGAACTTGCAACGATTCTACCGAAAGATTTCTTCTTGTTTTTTAACGTGTATGCGAGTACATATATATATATATATACCTGAATATATGCGATTAGAATCGCAATATGTTTTGAAAATATAGAACCCTAGTGGTGGGTTCGGATATACACAAAATACGATTTCCAACGTATGGAATTCGTTCGTGACGAAAGGGGAAGAACCGACGAAGGGTACAGTGAAATGAGTTTGCGAACGCCATGCCAATGTGTTAGGAACGAAGTAAGAGAGAGAAAGATAGGGTGGAGAAGGAGGAGGAGGAGGAGAAGGAGGAAGGAAAAAGAGAGAAGGGAATATACGATAGCACGTTTCCTGCGGTTTACGTGCTACGATCTACAGAAATTCGAAATAAACGTCGTACCGCTGTTTCACGAATGCCACTGAGAGAGTTTAACAATGAGGAGCCCCTGGTGTATATACGAGTAAATGAGCTTTACCCGTGAAAAACGTAGACTGCCTTTCTAAAGATGCTGCTGCTGCTGCCGCCGACTTAATTCTTCTTCAATTTATAATTTCGTAATGTATTGCATTGATTTCCACATTAATTATTTAATTGATAAAATTAATGACGAGAAAGAGAAACGTTTATATTCTAATAACACTTGGAAATACATAAAATAATAATAATAATATTAACAATGATAATATGACTAAAAAGTAAAGCAAGAACAAAATAGCGAAATATCTCAATCAATTAAAGAAATCCATCGATCGAAGTACTATACGATAGTTCGTTCGTTCCTTCATTCCTTCTAACAATGGCTATAGAAACTTATACACGCGTTTATACTCTAGGAAGATCGTAATACTCTCGCGAAAGCTACTTTTCTTTTCTTAGACACTTTCATCATCATTTCCATTCACATATTTCTCCTGCGAAAAGCTTTCGAGTGTCACAGATGGTTTCGTTAGTTTCAAACTTGATAATTTATATTACTTTTGAATATCTTATTGGAAATATAAATAATAAGGATAATAAATGAAAGAAAAGAAAGTTAATTATTTGCAAAAATTAATCTGGTTAATTATTTATATCTCTGTATGTAGAAGCATCCAAAAATAAAAACTATTATATCAGTATAGCTACGCTTTATGGAGGGGTAGGTAAAAACTTGGAGAAAAAATGGCAATCGATTGGGAACAGCTGTGGTTGGGTTACGTCGTTAAGGTGACGCGTCTGCAGATAAAACATTATGGAGAATGATCTCGAAGTTAAGAGGAGAGGAAGAAAAAGGTATTTTTGACGAAAAGTAAGTCTCGAACACCGAGCAAAATTTTCTCTCTCTCTCTTTCTCGTAGAAGAATATAAAAGATTCGTTACCGAAAAAATTTTAAAAGACAAAAAAGAAATAAAAGGGGAGAACAATTGTTACAATCGTCTATTTTTTGAAGGGTTTGAAAAAATTCAAAAAAATATTCACATAGACGCAGAAAAAGAAAAGGAAAATCTTTGACAAACGTGTTGCAACGACCTCGTTGCATTAAAACATTTCCGGCGTTAAAACATTTTACAAAGAGAGAGAGAGAGAGATGGCTGTCAATGCACTGATACGTTTGTTGTCATCGCTTCTTCTATTCCTTCCTGTCCGTCGTTCTCTTCGTTGCGTCGTTCAACGAGGGGAAGAAAAAAAAGAGAAAAAAAAAATGCATCAAAAGTGCACGGAGTTTTTAATTTCTCTTACGTCGTCGTGCACACGACGACAATGACCGATAGAAACAACTTCCATCCAAACGGCCTCCTCCTCTCTCTCGTGCTACGTTTTTCGAGCCTGCACTTTTTTTTATTTTTTTCTTTTTTTTTATTTCCTTCACGCGTTCCATTTTCTTCTCCTTTCTTTCTTTTTTACACTCGGTTGAAAAAAAAAAAGAAAAAAGAGAGGAAACAAGAAACAACACTAAAGGGGGTGCGATAGACGCGTATATAACACAAATTTTCCTAGCTTTTTAAACACGAAATGTGACGCTTTTTACTACTTCTCATCTTCTTGCTCTTTTCGCTGGCTACTACCATCCTAAATCGTCCGGATATTATAGTCTTTTTTTTC